CCATCGTTGTCCATTCTGGAAAATCAACTCCCGTCTTCCTGAAAACAATTTTAGGAGTCCTGTGGGTTTCTCTTGCTCCAGAAAAAAGCAGAAACTCAAAAACTGCGTGATGAGGAAGGGGGAAGGATGGACCCTGCTCCAAAAAAACTCACTTCTTCTTCTCCTCCAGCGTTGCCCTCCACGGGGGTCTTCTCTTACGCAGACAACACCAGCAGATCCTGAGCAAAACAAAAAAAAAAGACCCCATTGATGAATTCTCATATTATGACCCCTTCTCCTTGGGACTTTCATGGGATGGGGAGATCATCCCGCACTAGAAATTTGGAGGGATGAACTTCCGATGCCACCCAGGATGTCAAGGAGAGAAGCAACCTAGAACTAAGGAGAAACTTCCTGACAGTTAGAACAATTAACCAGTGGAACTCCTTGCCTCCAGAAGTGGTGAATGCTCCAACACTGGAAGTTTTTAAGAAGAGACTGGACAGCCATTTGTCTGAAATGGTGTAGGGTTCCTGCCTGAGCAGGGGGTTGGACTAGATGACCTCCAAAGTCCCTTCCAACTCTATTATTATTATTATTATTATTATTATTATTATTATTATTATTATTATTATTATTATTATTATTATTATTATTACTACTACTACTACTACTACTACTACTACTACTACTACTACTACTACTACTACTATTATGGGACTGGAGGCTAAAACACATAATGAATAATTGCAGGAATTGGGTATGTCTAGTTTAAGGAAGAGAAGGACGAGGGGGGACAGGATAGCAGCCTTCCAGTATCTCAGGGGCTGCCCCAAAGAAGAGGGAGTCAAGCTATTCTCCAAAGCGCCTGAAGGCAGGACAAGAAGCAATGGATGGAAACTAATCCAGGAGAGAAGCAACCTAGCAACTAAGGAGAAATTTCTTGACAGTGAGAACAATTAACCAGTGGAACCACCTGCCTCCAGAACCGGTGAATGCTCCAACATTGGAAGTTTTTAAGGAGATACTGGACAGCCATTTGTCTGAAATGGTATAGGGTTTCCTGCCTGAGGTCCCTTCCAACTTTATTATTATTATTATTATTATTATTATTATTATTATTATTATTATTATTATTATTATTATTATCATCATCATCATCATCATCATCATCATTATCATCATCATTATTATCATTATTATTATTAATGTCTGTGGATCCTTTCCTGCTGCGCCCACATCACCAAAATCCGGGAAGGATCTCAAGAACTTGGGGTTTAGGTGAGCTTCTCAACTCTCCTAAGCCATTCCGTGAAAAATTCTGAAGATTGCCTCCTAACATTTGTGGACTTCGCTGGTTATTGAGCAAGGCAAAGTCTTCAGCTTAGGACTATGATTCGGACCAGACTTTCGTGTTGCTAAGTGGGTCGCACTTGATTCTTCAACTTTTTTTTTTTTTTTGCCACAGTCGTTCAATGAATTGGTGCAGTTAAGTGTCGATGGAGATCCTCTGTCCTCCGGGTCCTGATTGTCCCAAAGGTGTTTTTTTTTCAGGAGGCAACTGGACTTCCTTTGTTTTTCCTTTGAAGACGTTTTGCTTCTCATCCCAGAAGCTTCCTCAGGTTCTGACTGGATGGTGGGGAAGGGAAGGATTTATACTCCTTGCAGACAGCTGGTCATTTGCCTCCTTTTAGAGAGTCCTTGAGGCCACCTGGAGGTTCACCTATGTCCTCAGGGTCACCTGAGTGGTGCAAATGGGGGTGGAGCCTTCTTGGAACTGCGGAAAGGACTGTGTTGTAGACTGGAGATAGATGATGTTGTATCCCTGCCCCTCTGTTGAGGGAGGGCTGTTTCATTTTGACCTAGATGGCCTCCCAAAGACCATCTATGTCAAAGACCACCCCCATTTGCACTACTCAGCGGACCCTGAGGACACAGCCTCCAAATGGCCTCAAGGATTCTCTAAAAGGAGGCAAAGGACCGGCTGTCTGTAAGGAGTATAAATCCTTCCCTTCCCCACCATCCAGTCAGAACCTGAAGAAGCTTCTGGGATGAGAAGCGAAACGTCTTCAAAGGAAAAACAAGGAAGTCCAGTTGCCTCCTGAAAAAAAAAAAGCCCCTTTGGGACACTGCAGTTAAGGGACTCACATGGTTGTTAAGTGAATCTGGCTTCTCCCATTTACTTTGCTTGTTGGATGTTAACCACAAATGAACCAATAATGGAGCCCACAAATGCACAAAGAGGGTTAACCACAAAAGCGTCAAGAGGGGCAGCCACAAAATGCACTTTGTCCGATTAAGTCTCCCAGAAAGCATTAGCGGGTCTTGAGAATGGGACATCTTTAACTTTCCCTCTCTCCCTCTCTCCCTCTCTCCCTCTCCCTCTCCCTCCCTCTCTCCCTCTCTTCCTCCTTCCCTCTCTCCCTCTCTCCCTCCCTCTCCCTCTCTCCCTCTTTCCCTCTCTCTTTCCCTCTCCCTCTCCGTCTCTCCCTCTCTCTCTCCCTCCCACCCTCTCCCTCTTTCCCTCTCTCCCTCCCTCTCTCCCTCTCTCCCTCCCTCTCCCTCTCTCTCACTCCCTCTCCGTTTCCCTCTCTCCCTCCCTCCCTCTCTCCCTCTCTCCTTCTTTGTCTCTCTCTCCCTGCCTCCCTCTCCCTCTCTC